TTCTCCTATAATGCATGTACATGTATACATCCATACAATCAGATGCACTACAACTACATATTAATGTACATGTACATCTATAACCATAAATGAGAGTACTACATGTATATGTACATGTACATGTACACATCCATACAATCAGATATATTAAGTGTACATCTATAACCATACAATGAGAGTACTACATGTACATGTATATGTATAATGCATATCCTTATTGACATGTATATATTAATGTACATGTACTCACTTCGTCTTCTTTCTTCTGTTCTTCATTCTCAGCCTCTGCCTCATTGTTCTCCTCAAAGACTCGCTAACAATGAGAACACATCCATCAAATGCATTGGATAATAGTATACATGTACATTGACAAGGTATTATTTATTAATCTCTTACGTTCTCCACAAATTGAATATTTGAGAGTATTAAGAAGTCGTTGATCATGTTATTCATTCTTGTTCCGGTTCCTTTCGTCTCGTCGACCAGGGTGTCAACCTGTTTCTCAATCTCGTGTGTACGAGTTCTTATGTGCTGAGAAAACTCCTTCAGAAACAAGAGCATCTGAAGAAAGAGAAAGAGAGAGAAAAGGAAAAAAGAGAGAAAAAGATAAAATACGTACAATAATTAAAAGACATATATGTACATGTACATGTATATTATGTAAAATAAGATAGTTTTAATGTGATCTGTGCAGTGACTTACCCCAGCATCAGAGGCTAGTGTCCAGTCCCTACTCCCTTCCTTCATTTCTGCTATACTCCATGGTCTCTCCCATACCTTACCACTGGCAGGTGGAGCACCTTCAACTGGTTTACTAGCCGGCTTCTCCTCCATTGATGGAGCTAGAGAGAGAGAGAGAGAGAGAGAAAGATTTAAAATGAAAGACAGGTGTGGCGTACCATATGTTGCTTAATAAAGAGAACACAAACATTTAAAAGTATCATAAATATTTCCATAACAATTTCAGTTTCAATTTGCAGAGATAAGGCAAGGAGAGAGAAAGAGATAGGCTTAGTTTCAAGAGCTATAAAGTGAAGATAAAGGAGAGTCTATTCATCTGATTTTCAGGAGAAAAAGTTAGTTAACACATACATGTACACGTACATGTTTTAATTGCTCTGTATCTGTATAGAACTAATGCAATTTTGAACTAATTTCCAGTCAAAAAACAACAAAATTGTGGCATAAAAATAATACAAACTGCATTAATTATATTCATATCCCTCCCATTAGTCCCATAGTGTTACCTGCTGGCTCTGAAGTGTCTTCTATTAGTCCACCACTCACAACAGGGGGAGGAGGAGGAGGAGGGGGAGCAGACATCTTTGACTACAATAGATGAATGAAAAGCACAACCAGAGGTTAGCATTACTTACTTATCTATTATATGTAGTACTATTTATTGAGAATTTAACTTCTTTTCAGTTGCAATGAGCTTCCATCACATGATACATGTCTCGCCTATTCTGCAAATTAAGTAACCACGCCTATTAATCAACGTGACCTAAACCACACCTACTCTCTGCAGTCTTCAAGGGTGTGGCTGGAAAGATGAAGAAGAAAAGAACAGTATATAACAA